AACTCAATTAGTTCAACAATACTCATCTACATGCATTGAAATAGTAGAGGGATCTGCTGTTTTTTTTTCTTCAGTGCAGAGACACATTCCCTTTTAAAAGATCTCCGCGTTATTTAATAACAGTCCCTCTTCCAGGAACATGAAGCGACAGCCTACCTTTAAAAGTGGAGGCAACTTTCAACGTGGCGTGAACCTCCGGCCGTAGATTGCTGATGTCATCGAACATGCACGAACCGTCACATGTACGGCTCGCCAGATGCACTTACAGATTATCAGCCGGATCTGTCCGTAAGAGCCGATCGATTGAAACTCGGCGTGCCTTCATCAAGTGACTGCAGTGCTCAAAATGAAGCGCGACAACCCCTTTCACGCGCTGATGTTGTCTCAGGGTACATCCATAACCCCCTCCAAATAACCCAACGAGTAATGTCTCACGATTTGCTTGGACCAGATCACTCGATACCTTGGAATAAAAACGGCTTGATCTCGCGCAAAATTTGCCCAAGTTTTGCCAGGTGTTTCTAGACTCTCCTCGATGGCGAATTGACAACTGGTAACATCTACTCTTCATCCGACACCTCTCCTAAGCCACGTGCGTCACTCCGGAAGCTGGGACCTGTCAACGGCTCGTTGCGCTCACTTCTGATCTGCCATTCGCAGGCCTAATTCGTCTCTTCTCATTGTCACTTCTAAACACACAGCGGTTGCTTTTTACGGATCAGGTTACTCGGCTCAACGCGTCTGCCAGTTTTTTTTCCGGCAGTGGAGATTTAGTGGAGCGCATTAACGCGCATATCCGAGCCCGTGACGGCGCTTGTAAAGCGGCAATAAAGGCGCGCGATAATTCAATAAGGTGACACGTTTATTGAACTGAACAGTATTTCATCGGCGGCGGGCAGGCAGACTCAGCCCAGCTAAACGAATCAACACAGACTGTAAAGATCGACAGCCAAGAGAAATGAACCGCAATCTGGTTAAAGAACAAGCCGGCCAACTCGACTCGATTACAATTGTGGACGTGATTTACGACGGGAGTGATTGGAAGTGAAATGAAAGAGGAAATCATAACAATGTTATTCTGGGAGAACACCAATGCCCAGCCTCACTAGCAAAATGGATGTCAGTTCCACTTCAGGAACAGACTACAATCATATAAAATTGAAAATGGAAGCTACATCAGAATTTTATTTTGATTCAAAAGTAATCATTTAGCTTTTGCATTAGCACAGGGAATTAAAGATTCGACATATTCTTGTCTGGCGTCTGAGGGAAAACGGTTTTCTCCGTTCTTTCCAAGTTTCCATTTTGACTATAAAAAGGTTAACATTTCCAGTGTGTTACCATTAGCTACGGTATAGCCTTAAGATGGTGAAACGTCAAGTTTCGAACACGAAAGAGATCACTTGCAGCTTTGCGTTGATAAAGGCTTAAATGACATGTAAGACGTATCCGTCCCATTATAAACAAAAGATTTTACGCGCCATTATCTCTGTCTATGGGAGAAATTTATCATGGTTAGCACTTAAGAAAGGAAAAAGTGATTATATTTCAAATGTGTCATCCGACCTTTAACGCAAACGAGTAGCGGCCCCTGGGTGCCATTTTTGACTCAAATCTTGCATAATGAATCAAAGGGAACCCTCAACATTTGCATACACTCACTGACCGTTGTCGTCTGGACGCCATGCACACTAGTTGATGCAAGTAAGTAGTCTTTCTGAGCAAACTAAACCAAAATATCTGATCAAATGGCCCTATATGACTTATTTTGCGAGTTCTGATCTCAAGTAGTTTTCAAACATTGAAAGGAAGTCCCCACTTTGTATCACCACACTATGAAAACCTAAGATGTTTAACTCTTAATCCACTGATTGTTGTGGGTTGGCTATGATTTGGACTTAATTACTCAAAAAGATAGTGACGTCAGGCTTTGGTTTCATATGCGCTTTCCTCTGGGGACTTGATAGATCGCGCCCCATCTCACTACCACAGGAAAGCACACAAGGAAAGAATGCCTGGCGTCATTGTAAGCAGCCTATTATTCCCTGTCGATTCGGGGAAACTCTTGATAAGACTGACACGATACATGAGCGTGTGCGAAGATTCATAACCCTGACCAGATAAGCCCAATCAGGCTGATTTTCTTTGCAGAGTGCACCTGAGTCATAACCAAGTACCTGTGGGACTAACTTCTCTTGAAGCACCCTAGCTACACATGCAGCAATCAATCCTCATTCTCGATGAAAAGCAGTCACATTTTCAGGAAATTGGAATACAAAACCAGTTTAGGGTTACAAGAATGAGATATTGATTCAGGGGGATCTTATTCGGAAATTGCGCGTGGTTTGCAAGGCCCTGGCATATCGATTAAAACACAGTGGAGACGGAAGAAAGACCACGAGAGAAAGAATTTTCCTTGGCCTAATACAAAGATCTTGATTTGAAGTGTAATTTCCCGTAGAATTTGAATGGCTACGCCTGTTTGGCAAAGTTCGTATTCATGTGAAAACAAATGTAATATCAAATCCTCAATGACGAAGGGAAAATGTGTAGTGGAAATGTTTGCATCTGGCGCAAGCTGCAGTGTTTCTTTATCAGGGACCTCATTATGAAACTCCATTGCTGACTGGATTACACTGACTTCCTATAGCTATAAACTCGTCATCATTTTCACGCAGAGACAACGTTGCCCCAATTCTTTTTTTTTTTTCAAATTTATGGGTGTTTTTTGCAAAATAAAATTGGCTATGTGATGCCTATGGGCAACAACTTGGTGTAATAATTGTTAACAAAATCTACTGAAAAAAACCAATCACGAGGATCTCCATGGGGCAAGGTTCAACCGAACGCTTTTTTCATTTTCACAATAAGCCAAAGTTGTATAGTATAAGCAATAATGGGCAAAACTCGTTTTACCGTTTTCGCCAAGAGACACAAGTGTGTTTCCAAAAAAACAATTTTAACTGATTTCTATGAATACTATCTTGTAGTTTTGTGTTATTTTAGATCGTTCATGATATAGCATTGGATATTATGCTAAATATTGCGGAAATAAGTATTTGAAAAACAGACCAACTTCATTAATGCGATTTCCTCGAAACCTAATTTTTACTCTCCGGCAAGACTTTTCTCTTTTTGTGAAAACAGTGACGAACTGTTGTAACTTAAAATTGTGTGTTTTGTTTGTCATATTTTAAAGGTATCGTACCAAAATTATCTCTCTCAGCTACTACCCATAACTGGTTTCGTAATACACAGTGGCGCAAATTTGTGCTGGAAATTTGGGGGATGGGGATTTGTGGGGGGATGACCTGCCCTGCCATGAAAATTTGAAATGGGGAGGGGGGTTGACGTCATATGACACTATATATGGGGCGATGTTCGTGATACAGATGTAGGCCTACATCTGTAATATATATTTCATTCACGCGGAATCCTACACCAGAATGGCATATTTATGGATTTTTAATTTTCCTCCGATATGAGTGATCTGGAATACATTTCGGTCGTTGAGAAGTCCCAAAACGGTTTACAATCCGCTTTAATTTTCACTCATCACAAAAGAGTGGTGGGGGTGATTCAATAGTCCATCCCCCACGTAATCAAGAGTGTGGGGGTATATATCCCTTCCCCTGAAAAATACGCCCATTGTAGTATATTTACGTCAGTAAATTTGCAAAACCGCTTAAGGCCGGCTCACACTTGCGAAAGCGGAGCGAACTTGACGTCACGAAATATTTGCAGCCAAATTCACCGAGGTTGAATTGTGTCCAACTTCTGAGAATCCGAAGCGCAAATATTTCATTTGACATCAAAATATTGCTCTGGCATTTCCTTTCCAACCATATTGGAGCCCGCAAAATTTACTCTGGTCACCGATCTGTTACGTTTATGACACTCGTCTTTGGAATATGCTACCAGTGGCAATACCATCCGTTGATACTTCTAAAGTTAAAACTTATTCTCATTAAAACTCACATTTTGTAAGCAGCATTTTAAGTAATTGACAATAAACTGGGGATCTTTAAAGTCAATGTATCATTGGAAAGCTGAGACTTTGTTGTTTAAGACAATCTTGCAGATAATACCAAGCTCTTCTGCTGGTAAACATGTAGTTTTGGACAAAGAAACTCTTTAAAGTAGAGTGACCTTTTTGTCAAACACTTTGTACAGGAGAAACTACCAAAGTCACTTCCTCAAGAAGTTACAGCAGTCCACGTCACAACCTAAGAAAATTTCATATTGATGGACACAAAAACATTGGAGCAACTCACCGACGACGATCGGGTGCAGCCCCTTCCGGTGGGAGTAGTAGTGCAGGATGAGCGCATTGTCGTGCCGCCGCTCACACCTGAAGGACGGAGCCTCCATCTGCTCGTAGGAGAAGCTGAGGTAAGAGTGCAGGGAGTCCAGGTTCTCCAGGAAGCTCTTGAGATTGCCGCCGAGGGCCCGCAGCATCTCGTCGTAGCCGGACTTCTGGCAGAAGCTGAAGAAGAACTCCCCGAAGAGCTCCAGAATAACAGGCACCTTGAGGCCTGGAACAAACAAGAGAGAAGATGTTTGGCCACTTTCACTGCGGGGGATGGCACATTACTAGATTAAGAAACGGGATAAAGATAAAACTGACCGAATGATCTGCCGTCAACAGATACGTCTGGACCGACAGAGAATAACCTTTCTATATACAGACACGAAGAAGATACATATCTCACAGTAAGGGGGTCGACAATGCTTGTACACGTTTATGTACAGACTGTTTACATTGACGTCATGTATTTCCCACAAACCTCTTCAATCCGCCATCTTTGGTATCGCCAGGCCTTTCAGGAATCGCCCTTGTCAACGGCTATATCTAATCATCGTGGAGCCCCACGATGGCAATTTTAATTTTGTGACTCCGAACCCGCAGTCACCAAATACCCAATTCGGCCCTAGGCTACGGCGGCAAAAACCCTAAATGTTAAGGTGAGTAGCCACCATCTGCAGCCATTTCCGATAGACCAGTGCGCTATTGGCGGTCGTAGCCAAGTAATTCGGACATAACCTGGGACACGCTAAAACATTACACTCGCAAAGGACTATGACATGGCTTTCAGTGGCGTAGCGAAGGCATATTCTTTGAGGGGTATGCCACAGTCAATTTGCCGACTTGTAACTTGCTCGCCAACCCCATGCGGTGCAAAGTGGAAATCCGTGGTAAGCTACATTTCATGCTTCAAGGGAAATGTCGACGGCCAACGTATATCGCTGGATTCATTTGCCAGCTGAAGTTCTATTAATTAATTCTGGAATTAATTAGGGGGCATCCCCGCCCCCTGGTCACTATGCCCCTACGATCGCGGCCATGGGTCGGAAAGCATGGTAAAAAGTATGGTGTAAGCCAACTGTTCAGAGAACACCTTCCCGTTATCGAATGCCACAGGACTGTTTGAGCAACGAAGGATTGCCCCTGCTACAATCAAATTCGACTCATTCTTCCAATTTTCCCTGTTTGATTAGCTGAAAATCCCCAATCATAAATTAAACAAAATGAAATGCCTGATATGACGGAGTCCCCACCTCCTGTACATACGGATGTTGTCAAGAACTGATCCGTGGGAACAGAGCTGAATAGAAGAATGGGTGTAGATATCTAAGTCTGTTGGCAGAGAAAAGTGTTGACGGGCCTTCTCGTGGGCCCAATCAGGGGTCGTCGTGGGCGTAAATCCAGGGGATGGGAGCGGGGTTAACACCCTCCAATATTTTGACTGGGGGTGGGCTAATAAAGATCCCTACTCTACTTTTAGTGATGAAAAATTCATGCAGATCGTGGAATTTTTTTTTAGGCTTTCCAACCAAAATGTATTCAATATCATTCAAAATACGAGAACAATAAAAACTGCCAAAAGCGGGCAGTGCAGGTGTCATATTATGCATGAATGTAATACATATTAGAGGGGTACATCTGTACCACGAATATCGCTCCTTAGTGCCCCCCCTTTAAAGTATCCATGGCTGGGAAGCAAATTTTTGTTCAAAACAGTTTTGGTTTCCTGTCTTGTGACTGGTCTGTTACATGAATATTTAATGCATGGTTTTCGACCTCACAAACCAAACGTTCCTTTCTCACTTTTTACAAGTTTAAAAAAAAGAGTTGTAAAACGAGAAAGATGATTCAAACTTAAGACGGAGGATTCAAAGTCGGAAGTACTTTCAACCAATCAATAAAAGCCTTTATTCGTTATTATATAACCACTCCTCAAAGCCAAAGACAGAATTACGAATAATGCATAAGCACAGAGGGCGCCCTCTTTCGAAACTGTTGGATCCCGTTTGGGAAAAAATACGCGGCCAGGCAAGTCATCCCCTCCACAATCCCCATCTCCCCATCCCCCAATTTCAGGCACAAATTTACGTCAATGGCGGTCTCAAGTGGTCATGGACGATTGTCGGTTTCAGTGCCTTTCAAAACGGTTCTTTGCTGCGCGGTAGCCGTAGGTCCCATTCACTGACACTTATATATTCGCCCATACTTTCAAACAGAAAGCTTTTACCTTCACCGGTCAATGCATCATGGACACAGCGGTGAAAATAATGAATCTGAGTTCTGCTGATTTTTAACTTGTGATGAACCTTCAAACATTCAGTTCAACATCAAGTAGAGACCACATTCACGCGTGGGCCAGAATCAGTCGCTGATTTGTCGGCTATTCCGCCAAAGGGATGGACCATCCGTTTACTTTAATTACTATTCCAATTCAAATTGACAGTGAGATGATTATGCACACATGCTCAGGCAGGGGTAGTGGAACAAACAAAAGAGTGCATCGCGATTATACTTCAGAATATGCTGAGATAATCAGAAGGGCATGCCTAAATATCGATATTAATCCATCAGGGCTAGCTTTTCAAGGACTTTGCCGATGTAATTTTGCCAGCAAATAATTATTTTGAGGAAATATATCCTGCCATTTTTGAACGTATGGAGAAAGTCAAGTTCGTTTCACGGAGGGTAGACTTTTGGGGATTTTAAGTTCGAGTGCCATTGTACATGAAATAAAGTTGGTAAATAAAGTCACCACGTGGAGGGTAAAAAAGTAGAAAAAGGCCGCTGCTTGGCCAACGCAGTCAGTTTTCTGGAACAGTAATTGAGGAGGTTTGGTGGCTAGGTGACAGATCGCTTGCTTGGTGGTTGACGTAATCAGGTCACAACACTAAGGAATTGATGCAAGGAAAATGGAAACTAAAAAACAAAAAAAATCAGGCAGGTCAGGACCTGCCTGAGTTTTTTTGTCATCGTAAGTAATTAATGTTTAAAGTGGAGTGTTTGATATAGCAGTGGACAAATGGCTTTTTACAATGGAAGCCCGCGACGACAACACTAGTACCGACAACTCGAGTGAGCTGGTTACTGGCTGGGCATGCAGTAACCACGTAGGCCATTTCCGATATTGGACAGAAATCTAATAACCTGCACTGCTCTTTCGCAAAACACAGACGGTTGTCAATCTTTGCTCAAGGTTTGTTATAATGAAATATTAACGTGGAAAAACTTGCTGACGATTAATACGATGGCCCAAAAACTTTCGTAATTTACCATTCTTTCCCTGATATCTCATTTAAATGTAAGTGTGGATAACTGCGCCTCACAGATATCAAACAAAACTCTCCTTCTCCCCCCCCCCCGGTTTTGTGCGCACTTGACATATTCAGTGTTGAGATGAGCCTATTCACAGTCTATCGTCGCCATGGATAATGCATGCGCTGAGAGACGAGCGTTATGAAAGTGTTAATGCGAATATCATTATTGTTATAATTTTTTTAAGTCTGGTTCCCAGACCAGGTATATCACCCATTGTCACATGAAAATTCAAAAACACCTGGAACTCACTGATGTCAACATTCACATGTGATCGGACATTTTCGGCCGTGCATAC